CATGGGACCGACAAAGCATGATTATTTGTCAGTCCTACAAAATTTTAGCCAGTCCTACAAAATCTCTCAATTTTATCCTGAAAAAAAATTAATAACATATTTTATCGAAAAATAACTTTATTAATATTAGTTTTATTCTCCGCACCCACAGGCAAATTAACAATGAAAGACCAGTTCGGGTCTTCTGATTGTTCTTATTTAAAGTCATCTTCACTATCCATTTCATCATCTGAATCACTTTCTCGGCTGTTACAGTATTTGTTTGCTCCATTGTAAGGTTCAATCGCCGATTGTTTGCCAGGGATGGCTCTATGGACAAATTAAGTAGGCCACGTGTAGATCGCCGCTTTGGTTTGTTTATAATAAATCTGTAAACCAGTACCGGAAATTGGCAGCGGATACATCTGATAACCGATGTAAACACTTATTGGAAACAGTTGCGGTACATCTAATAACCGATGTAAAAAAGTGCCGAAATATGCACTACAACGGCCGTTTTTACATCGGTCATTGGGACCGGCCCTAGCCTTCAAAATACTGGTCCGAGCCTCATTTTGACCGACAGGACCGACCATTTTCGTGAACTCTGATTTCATCCTAGACCCCCCCCCCCCCCCCCCTAAAAATCAAATGGTAGCTCCCTAAGTTAGCAGACAAATTATTTTATTTTTACATTGACAAACCTATATAACCTTGAAGTATTAAGTTCATATATTATCCCGCATATTATTACATGAACATTGAACTAAAACAAATTGTGGTCATTGTCAAAATTATAATTTACAGTTTACTTTTCCAATGCTTTTAATTTAAGATTAGGGCATTAGCTGGTCCCATATCAGATAGATGATATTTGCCCGTCCAAAGTGGATGTGCTGCTTCGTTGCTTCTGGAGTCGACTGGATCCATATAAATCAAGCCTCAATTTATTCATTTTTCTCTTCATTTAAGTAAGTTTGATCAACCTGCCACCCGTTATCTTCTCATATTTGGACAGTTTTCACATTGACCCATCCAGTGGCGGATCCAGAATTTTTCATAAGAGGGTGCCCACTGACTGCCTAAGAGGGGGCCTGCTCCAGTCATGTTTCAGTGATTCCCTATATAATCAACCAAATTTATCCCACAAAAGGGGGGCCTGGGCCCCCTGGTCCCCCCTAAATCCACCTCTGCCATCAATACTGACATTTTAGAGGGTATGAATGCCCTTTACCGTCAGGCGTCTAACGGTCATTTTCGGCTACCGTTAGCGTCAAATATGTTCACATTTTACCGTGATTCGTCAACATATCCTTATCATGATTCATCAGAGGTCTCAAATAATAATCGTTACCGTTATTTTTGGCAAAAAATTAACGTGATTCGTCAAAATCTGTCAGTTTCTTTATCGTCTTGAAGAAAGTCTTCATTTGATCGTCATGCACCAAAAATTACCGTTAACGTCATTTGGCAAGATTTTTTACCTTTATTCGTCATGAAGGTACCCCCATTACCACCCTCATTTTAACTTTCACTTTATAAGAATGTCACATGACCAACATTATGGGAACTGATTTATGCAATTGACCCTTATTCAATAGGAAAACAATCTATAAATCAAGCCTCAATTAGTTCATTTTTCTCTTCATTTAAATAAGTTTAATCGACCTGCCACCCGCTATTTTCTCACATTTGGACAGTTTTCACATTGACACATCAATACTGGTATTTTTACTTTAACTTAAAAAGAGTGTGACATCACGGGTGAAACTTAACTTTGTAAGGCCAGTAGCCAGCTGGGTTACTTGACTTGAAAATCAGTTAGCCCAGACAAAAAGTTAGTAGCCCAATTTATTTCACTATGAGTATCACTGGTGAAGCCCGCATGCGGGCTGAACTTGCTAGGGGGTTTGGGGGCATGCCCCCCCCCCCCCCCCCCAAGAAAATTTTGAAATTTTAGACTCAAAACCCTGCATTCTGAGCATACCTGGAGGTGATTTAGATGCTTGGGAAAATGTAAATTTTGTCTTTTTTTTGTTGTTGACTTGAATCAAATTTAATAAAAAAAATAATCATTTACAAAATGGGAATCTTCATACCCTGTGTACCAGTTTTTTTTTAATATCTTTTTAAGACAACTAAAGAATTCTCTGTCCTTAAATACATGTAGATGATCGATGAAATATTTAATTTTATTTCTTTAATAATCTAATTTATTAAATATCTTGATCGATTTATTTTGCGTAACTACGTACATTTGTAAACAAATGACCCCCATTTTTTCTCAAAAGACTTGTACACGTATTTCAAAAGCATTGTCATAAAATTGATATCTCCTCTGATTTTCTCTTTTTTGTAAACTGTTCAGTAAGTAGGAAACTAAAATCATTTTGAACTAATGTTATTTATTTGTGGTCGACAATACTCTTCTTTCGTTTTTGACCTTCATTCTCTGGACACCACGTGGGCTTTGAAAAGGGAACTACAAAAGGTACTGTTTTCCAGATTCTTATATATAATATAACATTATATATTATACGTTCTTTTATTTGACTGATATTATTTCATAACATGCTATTGTCATCTTCTCTGAAATTCTTCGCTTTCTTGAAGCCAAAACCGAACAGGGTATTTGATCGCTTCATATTGTAAATGACCATCGGAACGTCTCTCTTGTTATCCTTGCAAACATACAATACTTTCCGGACTTTAAATAGACGACCAATCAGTGACCTGAATTAACGTGAACTATATTTAGTCAAAGGTAAACTCTGCTTTTACATCCTTGTTTATCGCAACCGCGACTTTGCGACAATACGACTTCAGACACTTGCCTGTATACATTTTAAAAAGATTTTTTTTCTTTTTGAATTTATATTTTTGTCAGTTAAGTATCTGGCACTTGGAGCCACGGTAAACAGCGGATTTCCATCTGTCGGTACTTTGTTTTCAATTTGCCACCTGGGCTACCACAACTGAATAAAAAGATCGCCCAGGTCAATTTCTGGTCGCCATGGGCGTCCGTTAAGTTTTTTCCCTGGACATGACCAACAGAAAAAGTAATTTTCAATGCATTATGGGAGCTGATTTATGAAAATGACCCTTATTCAATAGGAAAACATAATCTAACACCTCGTTCATTTATGATGCAAATAAGCTGAATGGCCGATTGTGTTCAATTTGAAAATAAGAGAGTTAAAATGCAGGAATCGCAAAAACAGATGTTGGACATCAGAGTAATCTCGGCCTATGAGTATGAGTTTTAGGCAATTTGTAGTGGGGAGGGTTCAAGGGAAGCAAATGCTCTTTAAATTATGCATGTTTCAAAAATTGGGGAAAAATTACAGCGTTGAGTCATTTTTTTCAGACTTAATTTAAATAATTTAAATAATGACTAATGTAGACTTACCTTCTAATTCTATAAAAAAAATCACAACTACTGAACAGGAACAATCATGGTACTTTTTTGTCTATGAAACTACACTATGACATCTGATCTTCAAAACCTACAAACAGACACAGAAATATCATCAAATAGTGAAATATAAGATTGATTGCACCTTGAATGGATAGTTCCGACACGTGTTACATGGGGAGCCCGTTTGTTTCCAAATAATAATGTCACGTGATCACGCACTGACCGTCACAAATTTTTATCCTCCGCCATTATTCGTATTACACAATATTACTGTACTTGCACAATTCACAAATGCATAACCCATTATCTTGCGGACATGCAATGGGAATGTGCACGGTTATCAAAAACTACAAAAATATTGCATGTACAGTTAATGAAGAAGTTATTTCATCAAATAGATATTTAGATAAGATTTTCACTCATGTCATGACATAAATTGACTGGGTGCCATCGCCATCGGGGATAATTGATAAATGGGATTAAATTGACCGCCAAGAAGGTGTAGATAACCACCTCTGGAGGACCTTAACATTAATAAGTAATACTCACCAAAATTTCTCTATAATTAACGCTATTTTCTGTTGGAAAATTTCAGAAAGATGCTGATAAACTTATTTGGTGACACAGATTATTTTCTTGTTTTGGCGCGAAATATATTCTTACTCTTAATGCTTGACGTAACAAAATTTGTATATAAGTATATTTTACTAAAGCTCAGCGTAAATATGCAGAAGCATGACAATACATTAATGATAAAATGTGTAAATATTTCTGTAAAAGAATATAATTTAACTTTCCCAGTATACTTCACTTAGAATTACATTTGAGCGCAAGAAAGTCTCCTTGTGAATAGGCCCGGGGTCGAAGTTCAACATACAATGTATCAACGGAAATTTTTGCGTGTGCTTGCGTTGCTTTACATCGAGGCTACAGCTTTTCAACCAATCGGGGAATGTTTACCTAGGGCATACATCTATTTTTACTGCAGGTTTTGACATGTTTAAATCGGGATTATAGCCGGAAAAATGGAATGTTGTTGGTAAATACAAAACAGAAAATGATGAACACTTTTAGCAAAAGATAAATTGGATCGGGGGTCTGTGAATTCACATTATTTGTACATCTCTCCTTACTCTTGGGAAGCGTGTGCTTTACATCGAGGCTTGCGTTGCCTTACATCGAGGCTTACATTGACGCCATAGTAGTTCAACCAATCGGGGAATGTTTATTTGGGGCATACATCTATTTTTACTGCAGGTTTTGGCATATTTTAATCGAAATTAGAGAAAAATGGAATGATGTTAGGAGATATAAAACAGAAAATGATAAATATTTTTAGCAAAAGATGAATTGGATCGGGGTTCTGTGTATTCACATTATTTGTACAACTCTCCTTACTGATGGCAAAAAATGGAATTTCCGTGACCTAAATGGTTCGCGAAAATTAATATTTTTATATATATATAGTAAAAACTTATTTAAATTAAAGATAACCTTATAAAGCTAAAATACAATTGGAAACTTACAAGTCTATCTAATGTTGTTCTGTTATACATCTTCAATGTAATATATGCTATGTAAATGTTTTGTTAAATTTGGACAGGTTGGATGACGTTTTGTCCAGAATGGCTAACAAAAAGTGAGAACCTAGATACCAGTAATGTTTTGTATCTGTGGATCTACCTGGTCTTCTTCAATGGTGTGTGGGTTGTCATTCCACTCTACCTGATGTGGCATTCCTGGGTGGAGATGAAACACTGTATGACAACATCAGCTGTAGCAGACGGAGGTCATGGCACAGAGGTCACAGAAACAACAACAGTCACCACAACAACCTCTCGTCATAAATATAATACTAGGTCTAAAAAAATAGAATGACAATTATAAAAATTGTATCTCGTTCCAAATTAGATATATTAACCTGCTATTTAAGTCGAACACTACCTTAAAATTTACATACTTGTAAACATATTTTGTAGCCAAGAACATTCAAATGTAAAATAATACATATATGTTACAAAAAATTTGTTCCAGCGTGAAATTTGTTCTGCTGGACTTTATATCACAGAAAATATGTTCCAGCACTGTAAAATTCGTTCCGGAACTAATTTTATGACCAAATGTGAAATAAGTTCCGGAACAAAAATCATAGCTCCATGAATTTTTTTCCAATTAATATTAAGAGTTTTAAAAAGTTAATTAAGTTCTTGTGATATTTGTTTTAAACAAACGTGTACACATTTCATAGAAATCAATGAATAAGTTCCGCTCAAACCTATTTTCACAGAAAATAAGTACCTTTGCAACAAATTGTAAGCGAAATATTTTCTTGTTACATTTAAATTATAATGCAAGCTGAGTGCTGTACTGAGTGTGCTTGCATGGGATACATTTGCAATTGAGGGCATGACTGTAACTAAAGGATGAAGATAAGAAATAAAAGCGATGGTAATGTATCATAATTTGTATTTATGTTTTATGTGGTATTCCTCCTTGGTTTTTGTTAACTGTCATGGCCGCATGTTCTAGTCATACATGTACTTAGGTCATAGCACAGTTTCAAAAGTGTGTGTCTTTTGTTTCTACATGTCTTTTGATATAACTGATCAGTCACTTTGTCCTTTTCAAATAAGTACATATGTTCATCTTTAACTATACTTTTTTTCTGAATGATTGAATTTTCTTATTCTACTCTTTTCTCGGTGAAAAGTGTCATTTTGATATTTTTTACGAAGTATATAATTAAACATTTGCTATACTCCATGGGATCCAAATTGGATGATTTACACTTTTTACTTTTTTTTATTATTGATATAATACTTATTTTTATAATGCACTTGAATGATAACTTTAAACTCACTGATGACAAATGCTCAGTATATAAGATAACTTGTTTAACCAGTGGAACATATTTCACAGACAAGGAACTTATTTCACCAGGTGAGGAGCAAATCTCACAAACCCAGAACTTATTTCACCAGATAAGGAACAAATCTCATAAACCTGGAACTTATTTCACCAGGTAAGGAACAAATTTCACCAACCCGGTACTTATTTCACCAGGTAAAGTGTGGAACTTATTTTATAGAGATGTAACAAATTATATAGAAATCATCTGTGAAAAAATTTCTCCCAGAACATATTTCCTGTGATATTAGTTCCACTGGAACTTTTTTCACAGGAACAAATTTTGGCTCACATATACATATGCTAGTCTCTGTTTGAATGTAATCAAAAACTTTACATTATAATCAAATGTATTATGTTATTACTGTTTTACTATAAGATTTACATCTATGCAATTGATATATTTACTTCTGTGTACTAACTTTATTATGGGCAGCATTACTTTAATTAACTGTAGATTTTATGCAGTTTTGTAACATTTTTTTTTTAATGTAAGAAACTAAAATACTGATGTATTGACTTACTGCACTTTTTCGAGCTATGTTAACAGTAATACATGCTCTCCCAGAATAGATGATCTCATCATTCAGTTTCTTTTCAGCATTATTGACACTTTTATGTCCAATAGATCCTACCTCAAGATTATTTCAATCAAATGAGAGTAATTGTGGCCTGGTTCAGTTCTTATGCACACACAAAAGATCAGCATTCATTTTGTCACAGTGTTTTTGAAGATACAGAAAACATAAATTTTCCAATTATACTGTTTCACCACTGGCTATCATAACCCAATTAAAAGAGTCAAACAATAGGTCGATTTGTAATAAACAAGTAAGTTTATTCAATGTGTTTTGAATTCAAAAATGTGATTAATTTGGAAGTAACAATGCTAATTTTTCGCATGTATGTAGCATAAACTATAAAAGTAAAAGTTTTTTTATAATTTTCATATTATGTGTTTGGTTGTAAATTTTGAATAACTTTGTTGCTAAGCATTATTTTCTCTAATTTTTAGCTCACCGGGGCCCAAAGGGCCCCATGTGAGCTTATGCCATCACTTGGCGTCCGTCAGCCTCCGTCGTCTGTCGTCGTCGTCGTCTGTCGTCGTAAACTATTTCAAAAATCTTCTCCTCTGAAACTACTGGGCCAAATACCTTCAAACTTTAACTAAATGTTCCTTAGGGAATCTAGTTTATAAATTGTATCCGGTGTTTTGATCCATTGACAAACATGGCCGCCATGGCTAAAAATAGAACATAGGGGTCAAATGCAGTTTTTGGCTTATATCTCAAAAACTAAAGCTTTTAGAGCAAATCTGACATGGGGTAAAATTGTTCAGTTGGTCAAGATCTATCAGCTCTGAAATTTTCAGACGAATCAAACAATCCATTGTTGGGTTGCTGCCACCGAATTGGTAGTTTTAACAAAATTTTGCAGTTTTTTGTTATTATTGTGAATATTATTATAGATATATATAAACTGTAAGCAGCAATGATGTTCAGCAAAGTAAGATCTACAAAAAAGTTTATATGACCATAATTGTCAATTGACCCCTTAAGGAGTGATTGCCCTTTAAAGACAATTTTACACAATTTGTTCATCAAGTTTGCTAACATTTAAAAATCTTCTCCTCTGAAACTACTGGGCCAATTACCCTCAACTTTTAACTAAATGTTCCTTAGGGTATCTTGTTTATAAATTGTATCCGAAGTTTGTATCCATTGACAAACATGGCCGCCATGGCTAAAAAAAGAACATAAGGGTCAAATGCAGTTTTTGGCTTATATCTCAAAAACTTAATCTTTTAGAGCAATTGTGACATGGGGTAAAATTGTTCAGTTGGTCAAGATCTATCAGCTCTGAAATTTTCAGACGAATCGAATAACCCATTGTTGGGTTGCTGCCACCGAATTGGTAGTTTTAACAAAATTTTGCAGTTTTTTGTTATTTTGAATGTTATTATAGATATATATAAACTGTAAGCAGCAATAATGTTCAGCAAAGTAAGATCTACAAAAAAGTTAAATGACCAAAATTGTCAATTGACCCCTTAAGGAGTTATTGCCCTTTAAAGACAATTTTACACAATTTGTTCATCAAGTTTGCTAACATTTAAAAATCTTCTCCTCTGAAATGCAGGTGAGCGATTCAGGCTCTTGAGAGCCTCTTGTTACCATTTTCAATTAATTTGATTATTCCGTGTTTTGATTTCATAAATCCCCCAGTAATATTTTCTGCTTAATTTGCATGTCAATAAATACAATTTTACTTTGAATCAAAATATTCCAAAGTATCATACAGACCAAAGATCAAAGGTCATCTGGATGTCTTTTTTAGAGTTGTACATTGTGATGTATTTTTTATACAATGAACATGTTAGGTTGTAAAAGAAGGGTCAAAGAGGGGTTGTATTATGACAGTACTGAGGAACTAGAGAACTTTAAAATCATACATTTTTATGGGATGGGCATCCTTTAAAAAATGCTCTTTAAATGATAACATTTTAATTGTGTTCAGAATGAACAGTATTTCTTCCATGGCATTGAGAAACAAGCAATATAATGACACTGCAGCTGTGTTATTAACAAATCAATTCACATGTTTCTGGAATATTTGGTTGTGTTTCAATACATATTGTATTTATAGTTTGTTTATATTGTTTTAGTAGCGATAGTATATATTGATAAAGCAATGAAAGTACATGTATATGTACCTTTTTAGCTCATCTGGCCCAAAGGGCCAAGTGAGCTTTTCTCATCACTTGGCGTCCGTCGTCCGTCGTTGTCGTCGTCCGTCGTCGTCGTCCGTCGTCGTTAACTTTTACAAAAATCTTCTCCTCTGAAACTACTTGGCCAAATTAAACCAAACTTGGCCACAATCATCAGTGGAGTATCTAGTTTAAAAAATGTGTCCGGTGACCCGGCAAACCAACCAAGATGGCCGCCATGGTTAAAAATAGAACATAGGGGTAAAATGTAGATTTTGGCTTATATCTCTGAAACCAAAGCATTTAGAGCAAATCTGACGGGGTAAAATTGTTTATTAGGTCAAGATCTATCTGCCCTGAAATTTTCAGATGAATCGGACATTCTGTTGTTCAGAGCTCCAGATAAGAATTCACAAATTGGGGTTTTTACCCACCATTTTTTTTATGTAATTGGGTGATAAAGTTTTTTAATTGCATTATCAATTCCAATTCACCCCTCAAGCAAATATCAAATTGGGTTTTTCACCACAAGCTCCTTAATGTATTGGGTTTTTTCATCAACACAATATTGAATATTTAGGCATGTTATAATCACATTATATCAACCCCAGATGTGTTTCCATCATAAATGTGTTTCTTTCTTTGTAGAATATGTGCTAGCTGCATGTTTTATTTGGTTTATTCACTGACGAGCAATTGTACATTTAATTTGTGTCCCGTTTTAAACATTCTGTCAGCTTTGTATTTTCTCAAAACTTATGTAAACTGCAGCTGGTGTCACTAGTTGGACAGGAACTAATTGCATGCCTTTCTAGATCCCATATGATCACCCTACAGTTTAATTATAGTTGGGGTAGGTGTGGCTAAGTGTTTAGATTTTTGTGTAATATATGTGAAATTTAGGTGCTGTAAGAAAGTTTTGCCAGTCCTTTCACCTATTTGCCAGATCTACTTTTTAATAAAAATAAAAAGTAGTTTCCAGATTTAAGATATACCCCCAAAACCTTGAGGTTTATAGGGTGGTTTATAATGACGGAGACCACATTCAACTTAAATTTACAAATAATTCTGCAACATCAAGTAAATAAATGACAATGTTATACTGCACTTGCCAATAAGACAACTATCTTAAGCATCTAGAACAATTAGACCAAAAACAAAGAAAGTGTCAAGCTGCATTGACGTAAACAACGGATATGTGTATTCACTCATCAACTAAAATGAAAAAAATAATATATAAACTGTTTTCGTTTAATTCAATTTACATAAATCTGGGTTAAGTTGTCCCTTATCAGAACTTTTGGTTTCCGATGCTTTCAAACTACATATCATGTCATAATTGATTTGGCCTTTCACTTTTTCCAACTGATTTCGTTTTTGACGGAACCCCGTGTTTATCGCTCTAGCAATGTTCTCGTTATGGTTAGCAAACACGCCCGTGCGTTCAATGGCTGCTTCCTAAAATCACTAGCTGAGTCTTGTTATCATCATAACTTTCCCTCAGCTATCAAAAAGAAGCCGAAAACATGCTTCTATTCAATATTTTTACCGGACATTTACTTTCGTTTTAATTCATTGTATGTTATGATAAATCCCGAGCAATTCGAAAAAATATGACAGCAAGTCACACGCTAATTGGATAAACGCCGAGAAGATCGAAATGTTTTCATAAACACGTGTACCTTTTGAGCAACGGAAAATTCCACCAGGGACCCATTACAGCTACTTGATGCAGGGCTTTATTTTTAGAACGAAAGGACATTTCCAATTATAAATATTATAAAAATAGTTTTCCGCGACGACTGTATTCAAGTAAGGGTAAATAACGCAAACGATAGCGAATAAAAGCGTTAAGAACCCATGTTTTTGGCATATAATTGGGTTTTCTTTTGAATTAATTGGGTTATTGAACCCTGCAATGGGCAATTGCATTGGGTTTTTAATTATTTTTATTGCGTGATCACGCAAATACGCAGCTTATCTGGAGCTCTGGTTGTTGGGTTGCTGCCCCTGAATTGGTAATTTTAAGGAAATTTTGCCGTTTTTGGTTATTATCTTGAATATTATTATAGATAGAGATAAACTGTAAACAGCAATAATGTTCAGCAAAGTAAGATCTACAAATCAGTCATCTTGACCAAAATGGTCAGTTGACCCCTTAAGGAGTTATTGTCCTTTATAGTCAATTTTTAACCATTTTTCGTAAATTTTTGTGATCTTTTACAAAAATCTTCTCCTCTGAAACTACTAAGACAAATTTAACCAAACTTGTCCACAATCATCATTAGGGTATCTAGTTTAAAAAATTTGTCCGATGACCCCGCCCGCGAACCAAGATGGCCGACATGGCTAAAAAATAGTACATAGGGTAAAATGCAGTTTTTGGCTCATATCTCTGAAACCAAAGTATTTAGAGCAAATCTAGCTGAAAAAAATTGTTCATTAGGTCAAGATCTATCTGCCCTTAAATTTTCAGACCAATCAGGCAACACGTTGTTGGGTTGCTTCCCCTGAATTGATAATTTTAAGAAAATTTTGCAGCTTTTGGTTATTATCTTGAATATTATTATAGATAGAGATAAACTGTAAATAGCAATAATGTTCAGCAAAGTAAGATCTACAAATAAGTCATCTTGACCAAAATGGTCAGTTGACCCCTTAAGGAGTTATTGCCCTTTATAGTCAATTTTTAACCATTTTTCATAAATTTTTGAGATCTTTTACAAAAATCTTCTCCTCTGAAACTACTAAGACAAATTTAACCAAACTTGTTCACAATCATCATTAGGGTATCTAGTTTAAAAAATGTGTCCGATGACCCCGCCCACGAACCAAGATGGCCGACATGGCTAAAAAATAGTACATAGGGTAAAATGCAGTTTTTGGCTCATATCTCTGAAACCAAAGCATTTAGAGCAAATCTGACATGAAAAAAATTGTTCATTAGGTCATGATCTATCTGCCCTGAAATTTTCAGACCAATCAGGCAACACGTTGTTGGGTTGCTGCCCCTGAATTGGTAATTTTAAGAAAATTTTGCAGCTTTTGGTTATTATCTTGAATATTATTATAGATAGAGATAAACTGTAAACAGCAATAATGTACAGCAAAGTAAGATCTACAAATAAGTCAACATGACCAAAATTGTCAATTGACCCCTTAAGGAGTTATTACCCTTTATAGTCAATTTTTAACCATTTTTCGTAAATTTTTGTGATCTTTTACAAAAATCTTCTCCTCTGAAACTACTAAGACAAATTTAACCAAACTTGTCCACAATCATCATTAGGGTATCTAGTTTAAAAAATTTGTCCGATGACCCCGCCCGCGAACCAAGATGGCCGACATGGCTAAAAAATAGTACATAGGGTAAAATGCAGTTTTTGGCTCATATCTCTGAAACCAAAGTATTTAGAGCAAATCTAGCTGAAAAAAATTGTTCATTAGGTCAAGATCTATCTGCCCTTAAATTTTCAGACCAATCAGGCAACACGTTGTTGGGTTGCTTCCCCTGAATTGATAATTTTAAGAAAATTTTGCAGCTTTTGGTTATTATCTTGAATATAATTATAGATAGAGATAAACTGTAAATAGCAATAATGTTCAGCAAAGTAAGATCTACAAATAAGTCATCTTGACCAAAATGGTCAGTTGACCCCTTAAGGAGTTATTGCCCTTTATAGTCAATTTTTAATCATTTTTCATAAATTTTTGAGATCTTTTACAAAAATCTTCTCCTCTGAAACTACTAAGACAAATTTAACCAAACTTGTTCACAATCATCATTAGGGTATCTAGTTTAAAAAATGTGTCCGATGACCCCGCCCACGAACCAAGATGGCCGACATGGCTAAAAAATAGTACATAGGGTAAAATGCAGTTTTTGGCTCATATCTCTGAAACCAAAGCATTTAGAGCAAATCTGACATGAAAAAAATTGTTCATTAGGTCATGATCTATCTGCCCTGAAATTTTCAGACCAATCAGGCAACACGTTGTTGGGTTGCTGCCCCTGAATTGGTAATTTTAAGAAAATTTTGCAGCTTTTGGTTATTATCTTGAATATTATTATAGATAGAGATAAACTGTAAACAGCAATAATGTACAGCAAAGTAAGATCTACAAATAAGTCAACATGACCAAAATTGTCAATTGACCCCTTAAGGAGTTATTGCCCTTTATAGTCAATTTTTTACAATTTTCATTAATTTTGTAAATTTTTGTAAATTTTTACAAAATATTTTCCTCTGTAACTACTGGGCCAAGTTCATTATAGATAGAGATAATTGTAAGCAGCAAGAATGTTCAGTAAAGTAAAATCTACAAACACATCACCATCACCAAAACACAATTTTGTCATGAATCCATCTGTGTCCTTTGTTTAATATGCACATAGACCAAGGTGAGCGACACAGGCTCTTTAGAGCCTCTAGTTATTAAAGTCTTCATACTTTTTTTTTTTACAAATTTTATATGTTTTTTTTATTCATTTGTTACCTGTTGTTTTTGTTTTTAACAGAAATCAAAGAACTAAAGCTATGCTGATATTTGTTAAAAAATAATTATGTTGTTGCTATGAATTCTGGATGTACCAATTACAATTTGATACATCATATCAATTAAATGATAAATAAAAAACATCATTGGCGAATGTTCTCCAGTTGTAAACAAAACATCATGGTCGAATGTTCTCCAGTTGTAAACAAAACATCTTTAAGTTTTAATTGTAATGTTACTTACTCTTTAGGAATATTTTTTGAATATATACATTATATTGATATTGAAAGGGGAAGTATATCTTATGGTCCTATTTAGCTTAATTAAAGTGTATTACAAAATCATTGATTTTCATGTAAAAATAATTGAAAGGTATGTTTAAAGTTTACACTTTTTAAAGTCTTCCAAATATTATGAACATTCACAGAGGTTTAACACCTGAAAGATTGCATAAGTTTATATTTCTATAATAAAAGAGAGGCGAAGGATACCAAAGGGACATTCAAACTCATAAGTCATAAACAAACTGACAACGCCATGGATAAAAAAGACAATCAGACAAACAACATAGAAAACCAAAGACGGAGCAACACGAATCCCATCAAAAACTAGGGGTGATCTCAAATGACAAAAAATGGATAGTTTTGACACATACTTTTTGGTGGGATATGCATGCAAGTATCAAATAAATTTTTACAAGAGAGATGATTTCCATATAGACAAACACTGTAGTAAATGATTTTGTTGGTACTCACATGCATTCAATATTTGTGGGTGACAAAACCATTGGAAAATTTACCATTATATACATATTTTCATCACGATGTGTAGATATGGCTTTTTTTTTTTAGCTAATAAATGCATTTATTGGGTCCTGAACAACAGAACATTTCCCCCCTCCATCCCCTCTTTTCCCTTTTATCTTTCAATATTGGTGCTTCAGTGATAATTCATACATATATACAGCTTTTTATACCAGTGATAATTGACTGCTCAAATATTTATTATTTATCAATTTAGTAGCTTTTGCTACAACTGTATAATACATACATATATATTTTATATGTGATTTGTATTTGGATTTTGATGTCTTGCTTTCTACTGACAAATATATTTATTTTGTATACATGTAGTATCTACTGTTAAGTATATATTTTTTGCACAAGCAAAATTAATACTGACACACATATTTTGTTTTGGTGTGTTGTTTATTTGCTTGCATGATTTTGGTATATTTATTTATGGCCATGACAGTGATGATTATTTTATACAATTATGTCTAATACACACTTCACCTAAATACAAAGTTAAAGATTTGTTTATGCTGTAATCTTGTCACCTGACCTAGACATTATTTTTGATATGTTAGATTTGTTCCTTTAATACTACACATGACAAAACAACAATATTTGGTATGTGAACGTGTTATCTGATATACACTGGCTTTCAATTTACTTTTTGTGATAGGACAATTTTAGGGAAACCCTTTTATAAATGAAAGTAATTTTGAATGGCTACAATAGAAAAGTTCCCAATGTGAAATAGGGTAAGAACGACTTATACTTTTAAAACCCAAAGCAAAAAGTGCTTGTATTGCTGTTCTTCATCATATTGAGATTTTCAACACAAAGCAAAAGCTCACAAATAAATGCACTAGTTTGAACAGAGTTGTTGCTAAAAGATGATACATTTCAAAAATTTTATTTTTTAGAGGGCACTGACTAGCTGTTTAACCATCAGTTGTCCATGATTTATTTCATACATTTTAATAAAATTTCTCCTGAGATAATTTATAGTACAAAAACTAAGGATCTGACTCCAGCAGACTAGTATTGACCTAGTAAGTTGATGATTTAAAAAAATATTTGGTTAAGTTATATAACACTCCTAATGTGTTTGTCAAATTTGCCTTTCTTTATTTCTGGCTAAGACCATTATCAATGAAAGTTATCATATTATTGCACATCAGACATCAAATTTGGTATTTTTTACATCAGTTATTGGAGTAGAATTGTTTTTAAATAATTATATATATATCTTTGTAGCACGCATATATTTTAATATATATTTTAACATATCTTTGTAGCAGGCATATATTTTAATAATAAAAATGGAATGTTTAAATACATACTTGTTTTTCATCAGACAATAAATAATGTGAAAGTTAATTTTTGTCGAGCCTGCGACATGTGTCGCAAAAGCTCGACATAGGGATAGTGATACGGCTGTGGCGGCGGCGTTAACTAACTTCTTAAAAACTTAAAATTTCAGAAGGTAGAAGACCTGGATGCTTCATACTTTTTATATAGATGCCTTATGATATTAAGTTTCCGTCTGTCATATGCCCATTGTCCTTGACCTCATTTTCATGGTTCAGCGACTACTTGAAGAAAAAGTTAAGATTTTTCGTAATGTTAATTTCTCTCTTATTATGAGTAATAGGATAACTATATCTGGTAAGTGCGTACATTGCAAGGTCCTCATGTCTGTCAGACAGTTTTCATCTGACCTCGACCTCATTTCATGGATCAGTGAACAAGGTTAAGTTTTCGTGGTCAAGTCCATATCTCATATACTATAACCAATAGGTCTACTCTATTTGGTATATGTAATGATTGTAAGGTGTACATGTCCAACTGGCAGGTGTCATCTGACATTGACCTCATTTTCATGGTTCAGTGGTTAAAGTTGTTTTTATAAGACCGCAAACAAATTTTGCGGTCATATATTGGTATGACGTTGGCGTCGTCGTCGTCGTCGTTGTCGTCTGAAGACACATTGGTTTTTGCACTCTAACTTTAGTTTAAGTGAATGGTTCTCTATGAAATTTTACCATAACACCAGTTAAGGAATTAGGGGCCAAAAAGGGGCCAAAAATAAGCATTTTTCTAGTTTCCAGACAATAACTTGTGTTCAAGTGTATGGATCTCTCTGACATTGAACCACAAGGTTCCATATCACACAGGGAATGCTGGGATTGATTTTGGGGGTAACTGCCTCAAAATATTAGGAATTAGGGGCCAAAAAAGGGGCAAAAAACAAGCATTTTTCTAGTTTCATGACAACAACTTGTGTGTAAGTGTATGGATCTTTCTGAAATTGTACTACAAGGTTCCATATCACAAAGGGAAAGCTGGAATTGAGTTTGGGGGTAATTGCCCAAAACGTTTCGGAATAAGGGGCCAAAAATAAGCATTTTTCTAGTTTCCAGACAATAACTTGTGTTCAAGTGTATGGATCTCTCTGAAATTGTACTGCAAGGTACCATACCACAAAGGGAAGGCTGGGATTGATTTTGGGGGTAATTGCTTCAAAATTTTAGGAATTAGGGGCCAAAAAAGGGGCAAAAAACAAGCATTTTTCTAGTTTCAGGACAATAACTTGTGTGTAAGTGTATGGATCTTTATGAAATTGTACTACAAGGTTCCATATCACAAAGGGAAAGCTGGGTTTGAGTATGGGGGTAATTGCCCTAAACGTTTAGGAATTTGGGGCCAAAAAGGGGCCAAAAAACAAGCATTTTTCTAGTTTCCAGACAATAACTTGTGTTCAAGTGTATGGACCACTCTGAAATTGTACTGCAGGTACCATACCACAAAGGGAAGGCTGGGATTGAGTTTGGGGGTGATGATTCATAAGGGGGTTCAAAAAATTTGAGGGGGGATTTTTTTTTCTTTAAAATTTTCCATTTTAAATTGGTTATTTCTGATTTATATATAAAAGCAAATAATAATGATATGGTTTGAATAGGTAAATTAAAATTTTTTAAGTTCTTAGACCACATTCATTCTGTGTCAGAAACCTGTGCTGTGTCAAATATTTAATCACAATCCAAATTCAGTGCTGTATCAAGCTTGAATGTTGTGTCCATACTTGCCCCAACTGTTCAGGGTTCGACCTCTGAGGTCGTATCAAGCTGCGCCCAGAGGAGCATTTTATTGTGTTTCGGTCTGTTTTTCTATTACTGTATGCATAAGGTCAACTATATTTGGTGTATGGAAATAGTTTACGATGTACGTGGCAGTCTGGCAGGTTTTGTTTGACCTTGACCTCTTTTTCATGGTTCCATAAGTTTACATTTTATTCCTCCCATCCTTTTTCTTTTCATTTCTGCCATTCTTTTTCTTTGTTGATTTTTCTATACATGTAACACTTTTTTCATTTTTATATGTCCATATGGAATAAATCTGCAAACATAAAGTTGTCAAAGTGAGCTTTTCTCATCACTTGGCATCCGTCGTCTGTTAACTTTTACAAAAATCTTCTCCTCTGAAACTACTATGCCAAATTTAACCAAACTTGGCCACAATCATCATTTGGGTATCTAGTTGAAAATAGATATCCAAAATTTGTGTCAGATGCCCTGCCTGCCAACCAACATGACCACCATGGCTAAAAATAGAACATAGGGGTAAAATGCAAGTTTTGTCTCTTATCTTCAAAACTTTTATAGATAGAGACAGAGAACAGGGGCAGAAGTGTTAAGAATGTTGAGATCTACCTATTGTCTTTTAAATATTAAAATGAAAACTGTCAGATGACTTCTTATAGGAATTATTACCCTGAAATAATGATTTTCACCAATTTTGCATTTTTGTCTAGTATCTTAAAAATTATAATAGATATGTAGAAACTTAAATAAGCAAAAATGATCAGCAAGACAAGATCTTCTATTAAGTCATATGGAGGAAATTGTCTGACAACTCCTTATTAGAGTTTTTGCCCTATAATGATGATTTTTACCCATTTTTTGCGTTTTTGCCTTACATCTTAAAATTATGATAGATAGATAGATAGAAACTTAAATAAGCAAAAATTATCACAAGATCTATAATTAAGTCAATATGAAGGAAATCATCCTGATATGGAATGTACACTGATTCCACTGTACCCTCGCAACTCTCGAGGGGTGCTCCGAATAACGGAGGAATCTACCAGAACACACATCACTAAATAAAACACGGAAATATATACATTTCTTTTCCGGAACCGAACAAAACAGGTGACTCCTTCCGACTGTTTTTTTCGGTTGCAGCCGATGTTAGTCTTTTGAAATAATAGAATTGTAAGTAAGAAGCATTCCTCAAACATTGATGATAATCATGCAACTATCATTGCAAACCTTTCTAGTAATGCAGACAGTTCTGACAATTCTAAAACAATTTGATTTAACCAATTCAGCTGACCAGATAGTGAATGGTTTAATACATTTCGTCTAGGCCATATGATTATGACGTCTTGAAAGGCTATTTTAGTGTTTTGCTGTGAAACCTTCCTCTTTCGTAAATGTCGAGGAATAAAACATATCATCAGTAATTCGATGTTTACGGATGTGCAGTTAAGCATGGGACTTTGGGTGCAACTGAGGTATTCCTCATTACTACATTAGTACATTACAGAATCTTAGATTGCTTGGAGCATGGAAGTAATATTGAAAGGAATAACTACAACGCCAGTTCAAAGGTTTCATCTGCGTTAACGCCCATCTTTCAATAACTCGTTAATTGGTTTAATATATGGCATGGTAATTGACTCTCGGCATGTGAGCGATCGTTTTCGTGTTCACAGAAAATTACGAACAGACAAGTTGTTGTCGTATATACGTGCGAAGTAACCCGAATAGTCCACTCGTTACATTCCGCTGATGTACGCTGCCGAATAGAGTAATTTGTTCAATGTTGATTTTAGTCTAATTTTCCTATTTCTGTTTATTTCGATCTTGAAAACTGGAGAAAATGGGTGGATCGTTTTCAATTTTAATATTTACAGACAATTAAGATGCCATTTCTTAAAAATTTAAGAATATGATTGTACAAAAAATATGTTTGGACCCCCTTTTATTAAATATGAATAATCCAAGTCATGCGTGTATACCAGTCAATTAAAATATTCACAAACGTTTCTATTCTTTAAACTAATTCGTATAAATGAATTTGCGGTTAGGCAGATAGGGTCAAGCTCATTTTGTCTCTTTGTTTTTATTTTAGCTGTAGCGTGTTATATATTAACTGTATTAAAACACTTTTAAAAATAGATATTTACGAACTTATTATCCCGATTTTAGTTGTCCAGTTTTAATAATGTAATCAATGACATTTATTACATATATACATAAATTTAAAATACTTGTAAGTAAAGATCCTTTTTTAAATCTTGATAAACTTTGCACATTTCAACAGTAAAAAAATCTATGTCTTCATTTGTCTTCATTATTTTGTTAAACATCATGTGAAACATTATCGCTTCGTTGGTATTACCTGTTTTACTCGGGATCCGCTTTCAATTGGAAAATACTTTTAGATCAGTTTAAAACGAACGGTAAAAAGCAAAAATATGCAAAAATAAATACAATTTTCCATGTTTAACTGCTGTAGTGTAAACAATTCTCGTCCGTTTTTCAAGTTTTTTTTACATCATTCGATTTCTTTTTGAAGGTAGAAGTTTTATATGATACAGCGCCACCTTGTTAATTAATAAACTAGGATTTCACACAGGTGCTTTATAATTACCGTACTTGATAAAATCACGTGACTGATAAGAAATTCC